ACTGCTATAGTCTCAAAAAGAATGGTTTAGGTATTTGTCAAAACAAGTAGGGGTTTGAGTTCTTGTCAGAGTAAGGCATCAAAGCTATGTCCCCTGTAATCACTATCATGTTGGCAGCAAAATGGGCCAATATAAGGCATTAAGTCAGTTGAAGATAGGACCTAGAAGGGGCACAATCTACAGATTGTTAAGCAACTTGTTTGACCTTAAGGGAGAACCAAAGGGATCATGAGAAAAGATTGTGTTTGGGATGGATGTGTTAGGAGGTTGAGTGGGGAATGTGGAATTAAGGAAGCGGGCCGTTCATCAAGATCGCAGATTTAAGGATACAGAGTTATCAGAAACGGTCACATACAGAACCTACCAGTTCTGGTGGTGAGTGTAGTAACCATAGCTCCGCTGTTTCCAGGACCACTACATCCAGTACTTTGAGCCATCACCCATCAATAGACATGACAGTTCTGAGCAGCATCATTCAAGTGCAGGTGTAGTGCACTATCCATGGTGGTGAAGTAAAGAGATTCAGAGTATTTCTGTTTGTGCCTGTTAGCCAATGCTATTGTGTATAAATTCATGCTTCGTATATTGGGCTTTTTGCAGCCGTGATTGAAATTACCTGTGATTGAAATTAGAATTGGGTGTTGCATAAAAGCCTAGGGGAGCAATGCACGTGACATAGGAAGTGAATGAGGATGAAGTAAAGCAAGACCATCCATTGCTCACATGTGATTTTTCTGGTTGTTAAGATTCTATTTCACTTCCCAAATTTGTCACTGCGGATATGCCAGTGGACACAAAAACATGAAAATAGCCAGAAATGTTGTTGCGTCACTTCAGAACACAAGACTTGATGAGCCATTATGCTGTACTGTTGCTGAAACTGTCATATCCCTATATTTAGAAGCAGTTTGTTTTTCAAGCTGTGGTTACAGTGATCCATTTTCAATTGCGCATGAAACACTGATGACACATGCGCTGATGAGTTTCCACATACTGTCCTGAAGCTTCATGTTAATTTGTTTCACAGGGAGACTTTTGGGGTTTTTCTTCTGTTTTACGGGATGTCTCAGAAAAACTTTCTGTCAACTAAACTTAAATTGAAAACTCTTCTTTGGACACTTATTGTACCAACTGCAGTTTCTTAGCGTTCTTTTAAGAATCTTTTAATCTAATCTGTTGTAGGCCAGAGAAATGGGCTTTATTTCTAGTTTTGAAAAACGATTTTTTTTGTTTCTTGTGGAGTATCCTAAAGGGGTATCTGTCTACAGTATCTCATTGCAGGAGCATTAAGAAAGCACATTACTGGTCACATATTCCAATGATGAGTGGGGTCCCTCAGGGATCAGTACTGGGACGGGACCAGTATTATTTAACATCTTTGTCGGGGACATGGACAGTGGGGTTGAGTGCACCCTCAGAAAGTTTGTGGATGACACCAAGCTGTGTGTGGTATGCTTGATACTCTAGAGGGAAGGGATGCCAATTCAGAGAGACCTTGAGAGGCTAGAGAGGTGGGCCATGCGAACCTCATGAAGTTCAACAAGGCCAAGTGTAAGATCCTGCACCTGGGTCAGGGCAATCCCAAACACGGGTACAGGCTTGGTGATGAGTGGATTGAGAGCAGCCCTGCGGAGAAGGACTTTGGGGTATTGGTGGATGAAAAACTGAATATGAGCCGGCAATGTGCACTAGCAGCCCAGAAAGTCAATCACATCCTGGGCTGCATCAAAAGAAGCGTAGCCAGCAAGTCAAGGGAGGTGATTCTGCCCCTCTACTCCACTCTCGTGAGACCCCACCTGGAGTACTGTGTTCAGCTCTGGGGTCCCCAGCATAAGAAAGACATGGACCTACTCTAGTGGGTCCAGAGGAGGGCCACGAAGATGATCAGGGGGCTGGAGCACCTCCTGTATGAGGACAGGCTGAGAGATTTGGGGTTGTTCAGCCCAGAGAAGAGAAGGTTCTGGGGAGACCTTGTAGCGGCCTTCCAGTACTGAAAGGGGTCCTACAGGAGAGATGGGGAGGGACTCTTTATCAGGGAGTGTAGCGATAGAACGAAGGGTAACAGTTTTAAACTGAAAGAGGGTAGATTTTGATTAGATATTAGGAAGAAATTCTTTACTATGAGGGTGGTGAGGCACTGGAACAGGTTGCCCAGAGAAGTTGTGGATGCCCCACCCCTGGAAGTGTTCAAGGCCAGGTTGGATGGGTCTTCGAGCACCCTGGTCTGTGGAAGGTGTCCCTGCCCATGGCAGGAGTGTTGGAACTAGATGATCTTTAAGATGCCTTCCAACCCAAACCATTCTATGATTCTATTATATGACCTAATAGAGGAAAAGAAACTCTTAGTTGTTGTTGTCTTTTAATATAATGTTTGGGGTTTTTTAGCCTATACACGGTAGTTAATAACACTGGTTGTAACAAAGAAATGAAAGGCACTCCCACCTTCCTAGAAACCAAACCAAGCCCCTCTAATTTAATTAAATTAACTTCATACTGAAGACTTGAATAAAAAAAAATACTCGGGAGAAAATACTGTTATCCTGAAAAGGAGAATATCACAATAAATGTAGTTCTGCATGAGTAAAACTTTTCTTTCTGGTTTGCCCTGCCGAAGTTTTTCCAGATTTGTACCTGTAATTTTGGAGCTGTAATTCAGAGCAGGCCACTTTGCTGCTTCCTCTGGTGAGGAAATAACCTTCTGCCTGCAGCCAGTGCCACTCAGCATTACATTTTTTTTCCCTGCCAGTCATAGGCAGGTCCCACAGCTGTGCAATTGTCTTCTTGTTTGCGGAGGTCTTTTAAAGTCTTCATCCTGAAGTGTATGGTGGGTGCTTGCATCCAGGCTTCCAAGTTTTCTGTGTTAGTAAATGGCTCAACTTTTTATGGACAAATTAAATGGTCCAATTATTTTTTTAAGTAGAGGCACGAACTTCAGCCATCTTTTCAGCGTTGTGGGCTGCACTCACATTTTAGAGCACCTGTTTGGCCACAGAAATGCAGTTTGGCCAAAGCAATACAGAAATATAACAGACTGATGATTGGCCACACTGTCCTCTAGAGCTAACAGTAAACCCCTTCTCCCACCTAAATGTGACAGTGGTTGCAAGTGTGACATGTGTGCCAGGATAAGCACACTCATCTCACAGGCACATTTTGAGAGTCATGAGACCTCACATGCAGGTAATAACATCTGTTGCTCCCACTTCTCAGCTCGTTTTAGGGCCACGGTGAAAAAGACAGTAGATGTAAGTTGACCCCATGCAACCTGGTGTGTTATGCCTAGGCCTAGCATGTTTTCCTATTTCTGCTTGGAAGAAAATTAATACCAACTTAAATAGGCTTGAAACACAGGTTACGAAGAAAAAGGGAGTGGCTCAAAAATATTGAAAAAATGAAGTTTCTGTCAAAATCAAAAGGTTTAAACTCTGATGATTGTAATGAAATTTCTCAGACAAACGAGTAAGAGTACAATTCAGCTTTGGATGAGATGTTTGGAAACCACCGGAAATTCTGACATTTTAAAACAGGTTTCCGTTCAATATCAGATTAAGTACCATAGTAATGTTTTAATTCCTCAGTTAGAGATTTTTAATGCATCATATTGTCCAAAAGAACTTTGGAAAAATGAGGAGAATACTTTCTACCACAAATTCTCATTTTTTAATGTCACTGTACAGTTACAGGCACATGTTAAAATGGCACAAAAGCAGAGGAATCCTAAGAAGGAAGAAGAGGTTGCCTATATATCTCAAAGGAGACAGAGAAAAATAATGAAAATAAAATTTTCTTCTTTGTCATAAGGATTATGGTAAAAAGAAAAAAGGAATAATATGAATTTCATTACTATCATTAACAAAGGGATGTTTGAGTGAAGAAATTACCCTGCTACAGGATATGTATCTCTATTTTTGGAAGGTTTTTAAGGATTAGGCAGATACTAGTACTTGTACAGTAAAAGTGCATGGTTTGTATTTCCAATTTATTTTAGGGAACACTTCAAAATCTCCCCACTCTAAATGGAAATTATTACAAAACCTTTCCCTCCCTTAGGGCACCATGGCAGCTGTGATAAAACTCAGTGTTGAAAAACACTCTTCCTTAATTTTGCTTGCAGCAGGACATTCCTTATGAATGCCACCTATTTAATTTTCTCCCCTCTGCCATTTCAGCAGAATCCAAATAAATCATTGTAAACTTAAATTTCAAGATACATTTAATCCAGAATCATACTGGAGAGCAGAAATTAAGAGAGATATGGATTAGAATAAAAGAGTTCTAGTTTTTTTTTTCTCATGAGAAGATGGAAGCTATTCATTCTTAGCCTTTGCTACATGTTTTTTGAGGATTATTATGCTAGTGATTGTCCAGTTATTGACATAATTTTTTTACAATTTAAAATAAAATAACTATATTATTAATGTTAAACCCCCTCCTTTTCAAATAATCCCAGAGATTATGAGTTCTACAAAGATGATGGCAGTTCTACAAAGGCTTCAACCCAGAAAGGCCACGTCTAGTTTGGACACCTGGCCATTGTACACTAAAGATCCTTTCAGCTTGTTTGCATTGCCCCCTTACTGTATGAACTAGGGCAGGGACAGCTGGCTTGGCAATCTTGTGTCCCTTTTTCCTGACTGAGCCAGCACATGCTTAGTGCACCACGTACGGACCTTTGGATTTCAGCAGTGCTTCATATCCCACTGTGTACATGTGGTCATGGCACCCATTGTAAAAATAAAACTCCTGACTGAATTGCTTCTGAATTATTTCAACTATGTATTTCCTAAGCTTACTGAAATACAAGATTGATCAGCCTTCAGGTAGTTTTATTTTGTTGTGTCAGTTATTTAGGACTGCATTATCCTGCACAATGCACCTGTACTTTTTAATCTTCTGGTGAGTTCAGTGACAATATGTAAAAAAAAAAACCCAACAACTTTCCAAAATAACAATAAATGTTAAATGTCTTTCCAATTTTAATCACTAATATGCTTTCCTACCTGTATTGTAATGCTTGGTGCAGTAACATAAATCCTTTTCTTCTTTCAACAGAAATTGTGGCAGAGTGAGACCTTCTGCTACTTGAACTGCTCCCTTTTCTTGCCATTCAAAAATGAGATCATTCATTGTGTACCCAACTAAAAAAAAAAAGAAAGGGCGCAAATAAACTCTAAGTCAGCTGCAAAATTTGAAAAGCAAGGACAAACCAAATAGCGATGACTTAAGTAAATGTCATAAAAAGGAGAAAATACAGGGGGTCTTCTTGTACCTGTTAACCAAAAAGTGTTATCTGCCATTCTAAGCCATACTGAACTAGAAAAAAAAAGCCAGTCTTATGCATCCTTTGTGAAATCTTAGTAGTCAGGTATTAATGGAATTAACAAAAGCATCAAAATCAGCTAAACATCCAATTCTTTTGGGTGCTTGGGAAAACCTTACCCTCCCCAGTCCATGAAGGATAAAATAGGCCCTTCACTCTCAGATCTTTCTCCTTTTACTTGAGGTGAAATGGTGGATTCTGAAAGCTATGTTTATGGATTTATGTAAATTTGAATTGTTAGGTACAAATCTTCAAAGAGAACAATGGATGAAAATTTCTGCAGGAGTGAGGTAATAATTGAATTGAAAAAATACTTTGAAACTGGTACAAAACAAGGGAAAGCAATTGACTGTAATCTTCTCATATTAGCTGACTGTGACATATTATGATATTAAAGGCATTCAGTTTTAATATTCAGATTCCTGCACTTATCTGTACCTAATGCATGTGTGTGTATAAGATTAAATAAAACAGCAAAAGCCGTAGTAGAAGCGCTAATTAAGGGCTAGACTTTGTAAAGGACAAGTATTTTTTCCTTCTATTTCCCTCTCTCAGTTGAATATTTGCATGGAATATCATTGGGGAAAATAGCCCTATTTCCTCTGAATATGTGATATATTAACTTTCCAGTATATCCCTGGATATATATTCCGATTTTTTTTCTGAATAAATTCTATCTGGTTATGACAACTGGGAAAAAAAAAAAAAAGGCTTCCTATTCTTATTCAGGTTTCATTAAGACTTTCTCAGAATCTAATAGATTTGGACAAAGTGAGATTTTAAGATTAAAATCTAAGACTAAATGGCTTCTATTGCTGCAATAGCTTGAATGACAAGGGTACACTTGAGCCACGTATAATAGCTTGAACCAGAAGGAAAATGGAGTAATTTTTACATCTAAATTATATAGCTTTCATTCATCTATTTTTCTTCTTTGCAATATTTCCTTTCTGTTTTAGTCCAATGTTAATGAGCTGTTGAGAATAAACTACTGATAACTGGAAATATCATTTAACCTTTCAATAACAGATTATTGTTCAAAGTATATTGTTCAGAACTTTCTAAGAGTAACTATCTGCCCACAAATACTGAAATTTTGAGTTCCAGTGAAAGAAATAACTGCTTTGGTGTGTGGGCATAAATATTTCCCCTGTTATATTCAGTACCTTCATTACTCTTTGAATACATCTATAAACGCTATTCAGTCACAATGCCCTGATATGTTCACCTCAAATCTGAGACACACTTCATCCTTTCTGATCTGTCTATGTTGAATGCACCTATAAGCTAAGAATTGGTGTTTATAAATTTAAGACTGTTTTCAACACCTCTCCTTGCTTCTAGATTCTTTGTTTCTTTTGGGGAGTACCTTTATACAAGGTATTCACAGGCACTCAGGCTGACAGTTAGTTTACTTTGACATTTTGTTGGGGCTGGATAAACATTCTAAAAATGGGACCATATCCTTTTAAATAAGTATTTAATTAAGATCAGACATTACTCAAGTCATTATAAGCATACATTAACTGTGCAAGGAAACACTTATTTTTCTGTCTTCTTGAATGCACACCATTCTATAAACACAGTCTTAAAATTCACTATTAAATGCCATAAACTGTGAAAAATCAGAAGTATAACTCTTATCAAACTTTGCATGAATTCAGACAAAAAGCAGTTGTGTGTAAAGAAGACTATAATTTGAAGCATGTAGATTATGGCCAGAAGTGATATCCCCTGAGTAAAACTCATCGAACTGACAAGAAACAACTGCTGTGTCAAAATGTATTTCACTAAATCTGCTTCTTTCATCTCTAATGTGTGCTTTTAATTTCAATTATCTACCCTGCCCACTAATTCTTCTATAGTGCAATCTATTAAAAATAATAGCAGTGTATGCAAAATGCTGATATAGTAATTCATTTTTATTATGTTTACATTTTAAATACTCAAATATAGCTTTAGCGTTCAATACTGTAACTTCAGTTTTGTAAGTCAAGATCATATTTATAAAGTAAACGTGTCTTAAAATGTAGAGGAGCTTAATGGAGATGTGAGCTTATGTTATACCAAAGAAATTTAAAATAGTATAATATGTATCATCTATCCACTAGGGATGTTAAATTAAATCAACTTAGTTTCTGTTAAATTTATGGCCCTTTATTAAATGTGAAATAGGTGGCCCAATCAAATGTGCCCATTGAATTAGGGAAATCTAAAATCTTGTAATAAGATGTAATTGGGGAAGTGAGAAAACATAAATCATTTAAGCATATTGAACTATTTAATAACACAAACTTGTCTCTAGATTTTCTTTAGTGAGCAGTGTTAATAAGGACGGGTATTCTTGATTTTCCAGCTGAAAATACTTCGTTATTTGGTACAGTACCAAATAAACTGATGATCTCTTTCTTTTTTCCAAGTACTGCATCATTCTTTCTTCTTGGCATAGAGAAAAGAAAGAAGGACTACAGTGGAAAGTATCTAGTCACCTGCAGAAATAAAACAGAATCAGAGAATTTGCAAGAACAAACTGCAGCTTATGTCCCAGGCCCATCCCAGGATATTCTATGCACAAAAAGGCAAAACCCCACATTGTTCTGTGTTAAAATTTTTTCAGGAGGAACAGCAATACTAATAGAGCTAACTAAGCTTCCTTAATATCTCAAAAAAAGGAAAATATTTTTGTTTTTTGATTAATTTTATGAAGAAGGCCTGCTGAATAGCACAGTGCTTAACATGCAGAATGCTCGTGGTATTGTGTGCACTGTGCATAAGGGGAAAAAGGCATTTCGATAGAAATGGCCATTTAAAACAGTCAGTTTTATATACAGTATATATACTGTAGTATATATACTATTAGAGTTTAAGTGTATGGTATTATATACGCAATGAGCCTAAAAATTTTTCCTCCAGCACCCTAATTTTGGGAGCTTTGCTGATTAATGTAATTAGTGTCCCTTATTGAAGTGGCTGGGCTCCCAGCAGCATGAGAAGACATCATGGCAGATTATGAAATTACCTTAAGGTTCAGTTTCAGCAACAGTCTTATGATCTTGATATGGATAAGGAACCTATGATTGCCTAGTGCCATCAACCAGGGACGGGGGGGCTAAGTGCATGGCAAGTACCAGAAGTGTAGGAAGCTTTGGTAATGAAAATTTTGAAGCCTCAAGGGCAGAGTGTTATTTTTTAGATTTAGGATCCTAGAATTGCCAATCATAAAAGTTTACAGTATTAGAATTATGTTTGTAACTTTAAAATACTGGTGCCACTGCCTCAGTTCAGTGGGACTATATACATCATTCATGCATGTGTATTTGCAGTACTGAGGCCTACATTTGAAAAATGGAAATCTGATTAGATGCTGCAACAAAGCAGGTCTCTATTAAAATGCATATACCTTACTCATCTAGATGAAAAAAATACACCCGGCCATCCACCGCTGAAATTAGTTTTACAGGAATAAAGATGAAAACAAGTAAATTATTTCATTGTCTGTATACAATTAGCAAGTGATTAGCTGAGAAAAGGCAGATGAGAGAAGTGAGGACTGGTGCTCTTCTTGTTCTAGGTTTATGCAGCACCAGTCAATCTAACTGATCAAGTTCATAATTAAAGCTGTGTTCCTGAGACACAACTGCAGTTAAAAATAATTGATCTGAATGCAGTAGTAGCCAAATAGTAAAATTCAATACGACAGTTATCTTTGTGTGGTCTCTCAAATTTTGCTTTGATATTCTTGAATAATGGCACCACTAGCAGAAAGGGTTAATTTGTTGGGTAAACATATGCAGAAACAGTTCAAACAGAATATCTTAGGCATGGATTATTCTGCCAATGGTTGATAAATATATCACAGGTTCAATCCAGTGCATGAGTTTTTCATGAAATAATCAGAAGGCATGATAAATAAAATTAAGGCAAAACATCTTAAACTGAATTCAGGAAATACTAAACCTGAAGTCCATCTGAGCTTTTGGTTCCTACTCGTCTAATTGTGTTACTTGATTAATAAATGTGCATTATCTTTGAAGCAATTTAGAGAAAACCATTCAGTAACATAACTTTAAGTAAAAGTCTAAATGCCTGTTGCTGATATTGGTCACTGTCAAAGATTAGAGATACGCTATGTGTTTTTTCCAAATGGCCTGTGTGATAAAATATCTGACAGGTTGTATTCCATTACATCGTTATCACTGTGCAAATGGAGCGGTAAAGAAAGGTCATATGATCAGATCACCTTCTTAGCAAACTCTGGGCCTGAAATGTGAAGACTTTATTCTGAACAGATGTGCGGTTACCCGTACAAACTTGCACTATATGTGTTATATTGTTAAATATGTTCTCCGTCTTGTAAGAACTGCACTGAAATATGTAGTAGTTATAAAGAACAAGATGTTTCTCTTTATGGATTCTAAGGGGTTAGGAAGATAATGGTGTCTTTATTGTGCTGTTAGGTCCATAAATACTGAGTCCACAGAAACTAGCTGGCAGGAGAGTTGGTACAATCTAGGAACCTGAATTTGAGGAAATAGAGGAACCAACTCACAGCAATGTCACAGAATGAGGAATCATGTCCCTTGCAGTTTTTAAAGTTCAGAGTCACACCTATAGAAGCCCTATCTCCCCGGCGATACCTGTTCTAGATTCTCCTCCTTACATTTGCCATGCCACGAAACCCATGCCAAATGTTAATGCGATGATGAGTTTTGCAGTTTATTTATGGTTTTTTTGGATTTGCAAAAATAGCAAAGACAATCACATTTCCTATGCCTCTAACTTTTCTATCAGGAGAGCACTGTATTTTGTCTAGGGAAA